TTTCCTTCATCAGGGTCAGGTTTGGATTAATGGTGTGAACCTGGGACGATACTGGCCAGCCAGAGGGCCTCAGCAGACTGTCTATGTCCCTGGACCCCTGCTTAGCACCACCCTGCCCAACAACATCACAGTGCTGGAGCTGGAAGGAGCTCCAGGACACTCGAGGGTTCTTTTTATGGACCGACCTCAGCTCAACATCACGCCTAAAAAGCTTTGACGGAGCCCACCGAGTTTCGAAGTATAACATTTTCTTCACATTGCAGCTCTAAAAATAATTATCAGTCTGACTGAAGCACAATAGTACTCAGAACAAATGATCTCACCTGAAGGAGCTGCTACACAACAGTATTTCTATGGCATATGAGACACAATCTGATGTCAGCAGTTTTAATTTTTGACACAGAAACACTAAACATTTAATTACTTGCTGTTACAATAATCACCAGGCCTGTGCAAAAGAAATATATGCTGACTGTTGTTTTTAATTATTGCTTTTCTTTTTGCCCGATTACACATGCTGTAAATAAATTGTACATTGATTTTATTACATACAGTATATGTATCCGAGTGTCTAAAATCACCTGCAACAATAAAATTAAGGCAAGTCAAAGTCTTAAAGAGCCAAATTAACCAGTACTTTTAATGAGGTAGACTCCTCTCCAAGTAAAATAGTTCCTAGATGGACACTAGGTCTTTCCTGGAGGAGCGTTTGCTTTCCGATGCGCTTGAACACAGCGGGGAGTGCAAAATGAATAATCCAGGTACTGAAAAGGGATCTTCCCAAGCAGAGACTCTCCACACAACCAGCACCTCCTGTTGACAAAGACAAACCCACAGCAGAGTCACGCTGTATTTCAGTGCAGCTTTTAAATAACTTGCTATTACATTATGCATTAGCTCAGCGAGAGGATGGCTCTTGAGAGACGTACTTGATATTAGAGATGCTGGCCCCTGTTGCAGCAACTTGCGCTGCAAATCTCTTCTCTGCTGCCAGAGCTCTCTATAATCAATAAGCCAAAGATGAACATTTCCAAAAAACAGCCTTTTACAAGGAATCAGCTGCAGAGCTTTAGCAGTAACCTACCTTTTCACGATCAGTCAGAGATACAAAGTGCTTCTTTTCCTCTGCCTCCAGCTCTTGTTTCTTCTTTTCCTCTTTCTGCTCTTTTTCTCGCTGTTTTTTCTGGGCCTTCTGAGCCTTTTTCTTTTCCATCTTTTTCAGTTCAATCTCTGCCGTCAGCGGCCCGGGGATCTTTAATTGCACAGGAGTAAGACACTTAGTCAAATTACCAGCATGCGTTTAATGCAATACATGTTCAAAGGTGCACAAGTTTAACCTTACCTGGGCCTTGCTGTAGTCGTATTTGTCGGGATTATCCCCCATATATTTCCGAAAGACGTTTCTTGTGTCTTTGTCAGGGGCGACGATGTACGGTGTTTGCCCTTTATTATCCCTATAAAGGAATAATGTAGAGATGGTAATTAAACCTGGGCAAGGTTTCACTGTGTTCACTTCAGCTGCTACACAATCGCACTTTTACAACGCTTGACAATAATATTCTTTATACCTGCAAGAGGGGTCTGCTCCTTCATCTAGGAGGAGGCCGATCACTGCCTTTTGTGCAGCAGCAGTGGCAACATGCAGTAATGTGAACCCTGAAGCATCAATGGGTTTATTGAGGAGAGTATGAGGACTTGAGCCATCAGAAAGTTTGCTCTCCAAATGCTCTTGACCCTCTGACTTTTCCACAGGGAGCTGGAGGAGTGTGCGCAGAGCTTCCACATCCCCAACCTTGCAGGCAGTAAAGAGTGCATCCCTGAGGCTATACTCACACGACTCTTCAACAACATCTACAAAGAAAGAAAGCTTAATGTTGAGTTTTCACACTTGAAAACAATGCATTACACAGCTTTTGCAAGACTGAGAAACAAGTGGAAAAACAGATTTAAACCCCTACTCACCATCCACTTGTTTCTTGCTCTGTAACTTCCTTTTCCTCTTGCTCTTTGACTGCACTTCTTGAGGGAGATCTTCTACTGGTGTAGCCTCTGGCAGTTCCTCTTCTTTACCTTCTGCTTCTATGCTCTTTGGATCTGTCCCAAATGAATCTAGTATTTCATAAATTTTGCAGAACAATTGAGTAATAAACTAGCACGCCTTGGATTCCACCTGTGATGAGATAGTTGATCGGATCTACCTTCAATTGGAATTTTAGCTTCCTCCTTCTTTCGTCTCCTCCTCCTTTTGTGCCTGGAGGGATGGATTTCACACTCCCTGAGGTCCAGTGTTCCTAATATCATTTCCACCATCTCCAGCTGGATCTCCCCACACTCTTCTTCATCAGTGCTTTCGCGGTTTTCTTCAGCTGATGCAAGCAATAAATTTGCAGTCAAGTTTACTAAGCTTAACATTATTATTTGATGCTATAGTTTATCCACCGAGGTCAACAGAAAGCTTACAGACCATGTTTAAACATCTTAAACCTACCTTTCTCTTGATCTGCGTTTAGTTCTGCTGTGGGTTTAACAGCTTTTTTCCACACCTTTTTAGTTGGACTGAAGACTGCAGAAATGTCTGTGTCTTTCACTGAAAAAAAAGATATTACTGATTGTGCGATAAATACACCTTAGCTGCATAAACATGTGCAGAAGACGTGTTATTATTTCAAGCACTTCATGCTTCTTACCATACACATGAACAGTAGAAAGGACCTCATGTACCCTCTGTACCTCTCGAAATGTTGCCCTGCGTGTTGCAAAGGGGATTGTGCAGATCCTGGGATCTTTTTTATCAAGGGGACCTCCTCGACCACCAAAAAAGATAGTTTTGTTGTAGCTGGGAGCTCGTATGAATATTTTAGAGGCCCCTTTCAAGTGTTCAGCCCAGGTTACAAGAAGGTCCTGAATGTCCTGCAAAAAGTAAAAAAAAAAAAAAATAATAATTTAAATAAAAATCCAGGTTAACAAAATAAATAAATAAAACAGAATACTACGTCATCCTATGAGTGAGGCAGAGAATTTAACCACATAGCCAAAACTAAACTTGGCTCCATGGCTACACTACCACAGACTCACAAAAGTGCACGATCTATTCTTGGAGGAGAAAAACTAGTGAATCAGCCAAAGGAATCTTGAGCTTTTATAGCCACTGTTTGAAAAACATCAACCAAACTTTATAAAGAAGAACAGATAAGACATGGCTTTCACTCAAAAGGCGATCTGATGGAGCGCAGTATGACCTTGACTAGCGCCGCCTCATTGTGTCGTCGCAGTGCAGCTCCTGCAGATTTTGGTGCGTGACTGCGGTTCTGAGAATCTCGGAGTCCCTGGGCAGTGCCTCGTTTTGCTCGCACTGTGTATCGGTGGAAGGTCTTGTGCAGAAGGACTTGTTTTCTGGAACATAAAATACATTGTGCTGGACGCTTCACATCACTGTGAATCGGCTGTGTTGTTGTGCTTTAAATTTCAGCCATGATGTGTAATATGAAAGCATACAAAGCAGGGAAATAAAAAATTACCCTTCAAATACAGCACCAGCAAAATGACCTCCACCAGTCATGAGAATGACCCACGCAGTCTTCTTTGTTATAGCTTTCAGAGAGGATCCTGCATCGTGTTCGTCATCCAACTGAAACTTTTCAGGAAAAATGACAAAATATTAAATTATATAAATGTAAAGTGTTTTTTTTTTTAAAACAGATTATAGATTTCATTGGACTGATCCTCACCTTTCCCTTAAGTATGCAGCGGTAGACTAACAGATAATCTCCCACTGAGTTCTGGAAAACCAACTTGCTGGAGAGCCGACCAGCTGTTAAAGGAGTTTCACCTGAGCTCTCCATGTCTTTGTCAGAGACCGTTCTGCTTTTAACTCCAGCATCGCTGTCCGAGTCTTCGTCCTCTGAATCGGACTCTGAGCCCGAGATACTTGATAAGTCTCCTGTAAAGTGACAACAATAGGTCAGCTGTTCCAACTGCTTCAGACCTTTTTTTCCTAGTTAAACTCCATCTTAGATGTGTATTACTCCAGTTTCCTCACCTGCACCCGTCTTCCTCTCAAACTCCTCCGCTGTGAGGGGCGGCAACATGGCCATCTTTTGTCTCAAGTTGAACCGATGCCAGTCAAGCTTGTAGTGCTCCCTCTGCAACACAAAGTGCGTGTTCAGGCACCGGTTCTCAATGCATGAACAGACTGTAGAGTACTGCGTGGTTACCTGCTCCTCGCGGTTAATAAAGGGACATCTGCAGGCTGAGCAGACCATCTTCTCAGACACCTCTCTAACCAGGCTGGACTCGCCTTCTCGCCTGTCATCTTCTGCACTTCTATTTTCCACACCTGTGTGAAGAAAACACATTCAACGACTGAATAAACTGAGCATCTTTTTTTCCCACAACAACATATGTGTTCCATACATACAATCTGAGGCGAGGTCAATAATTACACCCTCCTTCAGGACGGGGTTCACCTCTCTCAATCCAAAAGCCTCATCATTCAAGCACAAATCAAAGATGGAGCGACAATCTTTGCGGGTAGTCATCGTTTGCTGGTTGGTTTATCTCATCTGTCATGGAAAGAAAGAGAAACCTGCTATAAGCTGTAGCTGGCGATCCCCTAAAATAGTGTTTGGCAGGGGCAGATCCACGACAGTTAACTGAACCAGATCATTAACACTTACTCTCCTACACGAATCATAAGAGCAGCTGGAAACAACCTCAAGCCGATATTTATAGTGACAGTTTTGATCTACAAGGCTAACCCAATTTTGCTAATGTAAACATAAGTGTGTGCTCTTTGAACGACACGTTAAGCCACAATCTATTTAAAACACCGACTCTGTCCACTTCCTTAAACGGGACTTTAAGGACATTACAACTACTAAAAGTTACAATGAACTACTGTGAAAATAGTAAACGACTTACCATAAAAGGAACTGACAAAAAGCCGAGCCAACCTTAGGGTAACATATAATTACGCTGACATTTCTACGGAAGCCCAAGAGCGTCATGAATGCTTCAGCGAGTGGCGTTCAAAGACCAAAGGTTGTAAATTAGCCGATCTTTCCTTTCAAACTGCTTTCACCGCGTTTTAGCAACATGCATATATCACTGCTGACATTTCCACGACAGATTACACTATTTATTCAGTTTATACACAAGTTTTCTTTATAATTACTAATAGTTTACAAACGTAGCCCACCAGTACTTAAACAAAAGTACTGATGGAACTTAAAACGCTAGTTTGTGTTTTAAGAATAAACAAACAAAGTTGACTCTAAATTACATAAAACAGTTAGTCGAGTTAATCTGCCCGATTAATGGTAAAATGCGCTTACAGACACTTTATTAAGTACACATTTTGAACCGATCATTGACTAGGTATAATCATAATTAATCGGCCAATCACATGAGACCAACTACATCTAGATACGTTTCAAAAACCATCCAGTGAGCGTCAGTCTTCTGTAAGAAAATGCCTTGCTGATACCTGATGTTAAAGGAGAAACGCCAAATTGATTCAAGCTAATAGCAAAGCAATGATAACTCAAATAATGACTGGTTACAACCAAGGTGTGCTAAGAACAGTAAACTAAAAATAGTTTGTACAGGATAATCAAAATTCTGCTGCAGCATCTGGATATTAGGGACAACCAGAACTTGCTGTAAACAACACAAAGAGCTGTTTGTTAGCCCAAAGTGTCAGCCCTTGTTTCTGAACCAAAAACAAAAATCCTGCTCAGTACAAAAAAAAAGGAAAAGAATTCCTTTCACTGTCTGTTTTTTTTATAGACAGCATTTCCTGAAGAACATATAGTGTGACTGTTGAATGATTTTGCAGCTTGCTCTCAGCTGTGGCAGCCTGGTTGCAGCTGCTGAAGCTGTCATCAGCATGTGCATTTAACCAGCTAAGGAACTTAGGATTGAACATGTGTTTGCTATAAGTGAGAGCATGTGGAGAGTGTGAAAGTTTTTCCAGCATTACAGTTTTGTAACTGCATGGAAGCTGGCTTCTGCCACTGAAAAAGAAATTGGATCCATAAGTCAAAATTTCGGGTTACCAAAGTGAACGTCTGAGAAAATAACTTTAATTTTAAAATTATTCTCAAATTTTTGATATAATAACTTCAATTTATTACCTATGGATGCAAAAACTTTTTTTTCCAGTCATGGAAACGAGCCTCCAAGATTGCCTTGTTGATTATCTGTGCAACAACATACAGTAATGTATTATATATTAAGAAAAACAGAAAGATATTGTATCTACTATGTAAGTTGCCCGCTGGATTTATGTAAACTACAAAATTCGGGGTTGCAAAACCTTAGTTATGAAGTAGGAAATCCGAGGTTTTTTTTAGATTTTGTTTGCAGTCACAGGTCAGAAAGTTGAGCTGTCAATGCATCCAGGATTACAGCAGTTCAAACTGACCCAACCACACCCTCATCAGTTTGCTAGATGATGGAAGAAAGAAACATGCCATCCAGACATGATATCTTTGGGTTTTAATGAAGACTAGATGAAATGGGAAAAATAGGGAATAAAGGTTTTGTTTTTGCAAAATATTGCAAATGGCTGACAGTGTGTCAATTCTGTCATCACTGAAATCTCATGAGAAATTTTAATCTCCTCCATACTGTAACTGAGATAAGCATAAACATTTTGCAATATTTGTCATCTTATTTAATCACTGCATAGAGAAGGTCGACCATTTGTGACTATGTGAAGCACCCGAGTAATGAGAAGCTTTGGAGATATTCACTGCAGAATCATCCCCTTTACTGTTATTTAAGAAACAATAAAATACATTTAAAAGATAAAAATGATTATTTTATTAGCTGTCAAAAATACTTATATACACTTTATTGTACTTATTAAAATAACAGTGTTTGTAAGTCACTACGTCGTGTGATTTCTCTCCAACTTGTAGGTTGACCCAGGGAGCAAAGCTTGACCTGTTGACAGAGAGAGAGCACGTTTATCTCCATGTCTGTATACAGTAAATTCTGTAGGTATTCTGTGAGTGATCCCCATACCCGCCGAATAACGATCCTCAACCTCTTCTAGCTGCTGTTTCACCTCCAGGATTTCAGCAAGAAGCTGGCTTGCCTTAATGCTGGCACTCTCACTCTGGTCCTGCAAACTGAGCCTTTCACTCCTGAAATATATAAAATATATATTGTAGGTTTGCACATGTCGCGTCTGCTTCGGTTTTGCCCACAGCACTTCGGAATACCTGTCTGGAGAGCTTTGGCTATTTAGTTGTTCAAAGAGATCCATCTCACTTTGGAGCAGATGACCCAGTTGTTGCAGTGCATTAACAATTTCGCTTTTTTCCATCATTAAATCCACTCTCCGTTCAGTTTCTCTCGTACTGCGAAAGACAGCAGAATACATTATGTAAGGGCTACACATTTAGAAACAAAGGCAAACATCACGCCTGGTTATGCATAATTAACTGTTTGACTAAATCTAAATGAACAGTAGGTAATTATATCTTTTTTACGTTAACTTATTATTTTGAAATAATTATTGATTGTTCAGTGTAAGGGCTTTGGGATGAAGACACTGTTAGCAATTAGATGGTCACCGTCTGAACCCTCCCAGAAAGGCTCAATTGCGCAACCAAAACAGAATGAGCATACAGTTGTCCACTGCTTTTGACAACCAGAGCATCTGTGGAAATATTACCCAACCCTAACTAACTGTACCCTAACTAACTGTACCCTAACTAAAGGGCAAAATACTATATCTTTCAGAAGGTGATCAGTTAAGTTAAGAATAGAAATATCCTTTACTGTCCCTCACTGGAAAAACTTATATTCGAATTCAAGTTCAAGGTGTGTTTGTATTTCAAATTAATACAAGAAATTAATCTTTATTCAAGACAAACTAATTAAACTTTTTTTTTTTTCTTTTTTTTTTTTTAAAAACGCCAGCTGGCTCATGAATGCCGTTCACTAATAGACCTACATGAGGGAAATCTTTGTATGTGTCTTCTATGTTCATCAACAATATTCCTGGAGGAAGAAAAGATGTTAAATAGTTTGGATAAGCACTCCAAGTTAAGACTGGGGAAAGCTAAACGTCACTGATTACTATAAAAAAAAAAAGTAAACAAACAAAAAAGGAAAAAAAAAACACCCCAAGCAAGTCTGGATAGTATCTACCTGAAAACGTTTTTTTTTTACTGATCGAAGGAAGAATGGATCCATGCTTTTATGTTGTTTACAGCAGCAGAAATGGCGACCCATCAGACCAGGCGACACTTTTCCAATTTTCTGTTGTTCAATTTTGATGAGCCCACATGAACTGTGTTCTCAGTTTCCTGTTCTTAGCTGACAGGAGTGGGATCTAGTGTGGTCTTCTGCTGCTGTAGCCCATTCTACTTCCAGTTCAACATACTGTGCATTCAGAGATGTATTACTGCATACTTTGGCTGTAATCAGTGGTCATTTTAATTACTGCTGTCAGCTTAAAACAGTCTGGCCATTTTCCTTGACAAGACATGTTCACCCAGAAAACTCAGTGGATTTTCTCTTTTCTTAACCATTATCTGCAAACCCTAGAAATGGCTGAGGTACTCACCAACAGCTGTGCCATTTTCAAAATCACCTCTCTTCCCCATTCTGTGGCTCAGCTTGACCTTGTAACTTGAATTACATGCTCAAATGCACGGAGTTTGCCGATTAGATTAGATTGCATGAGGGAGCAGTTCAAGACATGAGGTGTACCTAGACTGGTCGATTAATCTACAGTAACAGCCTGTTGTGCACCTCAGTGCACCCACCGACGATAACTGGTATCACATCACAGGAAGCATTATACGGGTTGAGACAATATCAGGTTTTTTGTACACTTTAAGCGTGACAGGCACCCAATTTAATTGGAAACTAAAGTAAATGGGTGGTGTACATTGAGATACCGTTTAACTATCTCTTCTTCAGTATGCAGTCTTCTCTGTTGGACCTTCTCCAGTTCACGATTGGTTTCTTCGATAGCACGCCGCAGCTCATTAACCTGCTCCTGCGTCTCCTGCAAATTGCAAAGTTTGCATGTCGTAATTCACAGCTAGCCTGCTGGCAAAGAGTCAAAGCCTGCTCTGTTAACGAACTGGCATCTTAGTTTGTTAATACTTCTGTTGTTTACTTGATAATTAGTAACTTTAGCATCAGTGTACGTAGCTGCCAGGTAGCTAGTCATGTGCAGGAAGGCTAGCTTACAAAACAGCGTCGACTTACCGCAGAAACTTCGTCCTGTTTTAGAAATGTATGGCCAGAAAATGCGGTCATGCTGGTATTTTCACGTGGAAGAATTCCTACTGGGATGGAAACTCGACTTTTCCTCTTTATAAATACTGCTTCCGGCTGACTTAGCAGAGCCCGGATAGCTCAGTCGGTAGAGCATCAGACTTTTAATCTGAGGGTCCAGGGTTCAAGTCCCTGTTCGGGCGTCAGAATTTTTATTTCTTCTACGTTATCAACAAAAATTTTGCACAACTTAGTAATGATTTAAAATTAGCTGCGTTCATGCATTGCACGTGAACTGATGGTAAGCTTAGTTTCAGTAGAAAGAAAACAGCACTCTTGGTTCATGTACACACCTAAAGCCTAAAATTATACCAAATTTCTGCCAGACATTAAAACCATTTCATTTAAAGCTAGTCATTGATTTTAAGCTGTTATTATACACAGTGAGACCTCACATTATGCCACTGTTGCAGATGTTGTTTATGAAAGAATCAAACTAATTTGGAGATTAGGCTCACTCACAAACAGCTAACACCAGCCCTGTTATTTACTTGAGGTAATTATGGGTATTATCTAAGGACAGCAGTGGGAACACATATAAAGCTAGGTGTTAGTGCATGTCAAATGGTAACACTGAAGACATACCTGACTGGTAAAGATGGAGCAGATTATACTCCTCTGCATGGTTTCTATTTGTCTCTCAGCTGTGCAAGCTCAGGTAAATGTGCTTGGGAACGCTGAATTTAATGAATTCATGAATAGAGCTGTAAATAAATTTGTCTGTGCTTTCTGCAGAAATTTTTGTTCAACCAAAAGTGGGGTCCCGCTGGCTACAAAGGTGCACTCAGTTTCGATTTAATTTAAATTATTACTGTGACTGACGTAAAACTGCACACTCCCTCACTAACTTTTTTTTCTTTTTTAAGAATGGAGAGGGGTCAATGAAGAAACGGCAATGGATAAAATCATTAAAACCAACGAGCTCAAAGGTAAGTTGCACACACTTTACTTGAGGGGTTTTCTTTTGCACATTCCCCAACTTGCTGTTAAAAAACTTTAATTTGATTTCTGCATCAGCTACGCAAATCATCGATGGCGCCGCCACCCTCAGAGAGGGAGATATTGCTGTTTCCTCTGGAAGAGCCCCCAAAATCTGCTTTGCACGGAGCTGCCTGTGGTCCAAATCAGTGGATGGACATGTCTACATTGCATATAACCTCTCACCTGAATACAGTATGTTGTTTTAGCGTTTGAGGCATAAGTACATGCAATGGATTACAGTCTTCTTTTTAATGATGTATGAATTACTCGCCCCTGTTAAACAACTGAACAGATGAAATGGATACAATGCTGATAAAGACAGGAATGGCCAACATAGAGCAAGGTACCTGTGTGCGTTTTGTTCCTCGGACTCACCAGAGAGACTACATCGACATCCAGCCAAAGTCAGGGTGAGAGCTGAAGCGTGGAAAGTTTGATTACATAAAATTCCTTTTGTAAAATGTATTCAGGTTTTGTTTCCTCTCCAGCTGTGAATTCACCACTTGAAGTTACTATTCTGTCCTCTTATGTGTTAATCCAGTTGCTGGTCCTACCTTGGTGCGCGTGGTGGAAGGCAGACTGTGTCTCTCCAGATCCCTAACTGCGTCCAGGTTGGAGTGGTTTCCCATGAATTCATGCACACCTTGGGCTTTGTGCACGAGCAGTCCCGCTTAGATCGGGACAACTATGTCACCATCATGTGGCCAAATATTTCAAGAGGTAATTTTAAAGTGTGCAGGGGTTGGCATTGTGGAAAAAGAATGAAAGCTTTAACTGTATTTCTGCACCAATTTTCAAAACAGAAAATTCATTTTTCCAACAGATCGGTTGAGAAACTTTGAGAAGTTCAGGACTGACACTCTGGGTCTGCCCTATGACTATGGCTCAATTCTGCACTTTGGAAAGTAAGTAAAAAAGGATCTGTTAATCACTCAAAATATTATAATTTACCCCCTTTATTTTAAAATATACTTATAAGCTGATACTTATTTATGTATATGTTTAGATATGCCTACTCCCAGCGTGGGGAAGCAACCATCCTTCCAAAGGACAACAACAACATCCAGCTGGGCCAGGCTTTGTCTCTCAGCCACATTGACAGGCTAAAAATCAACAGACTTTATAATTGTGGTTAGTACCAAATGTCCTGAATGAACTCCTAAACACACTGCACATCACTGTCACAAATGTAATTTCTTTCTGTCTTTCTGTTCAGATGACATGGATGATTAGAGACCCGACTGAATGAAAGTGAACCAGGAGTAAAGGCCAATTTAACAAAACTGCAGTTGAATTATATGAACAGTTTCAATAAAGATTGATTCAAACCTTCTATCAGCAAATCCTTGGTGTACATGAAATTTTGTGCGTTTTAAATTGGATATTTCTCTTTATGTAAAAATATGTCTCACAATAGATAGCCTGGTTTGAAATAGACACGTGGTAATGCACTCAACAGTAATATTACGGATCAATAAGAGATAAAGAGTAATAAAGCAGAGGCAGGGTAATAAGGTATGTGAAGAATCTTAGAACAGGTGACTTGATCACATTAAACAGGAGATCTGAATCTGTTTTAATGAGGAAGGTTAAAGAACAAAGTCTCTGGTAATAAATAGACATGTTCTCTATATTTAAAAATGTGCTACCTTAACTCAAGATGCAGTAGTTTCTTCTGTTTGTCCAATCACCACAAGGGAAGTTTTCATAAAGTGCTGACACATGAGAATCTTCGCTTCGTCACTGCCCTTCAAAATTAGCCCCTTGATAAGAATAGAAGCGATATTTGGAAAAGGATAAAGTTTTGTTTTTATATATTTAACTGTGTGACAAAAAATGACCGTTGCCAAGACAGTTATCATCTGATAGCATATCACAAAATCACTAGTTGCCAGCTCAGTCAGACACAAATTGCTGGTCTGTTGGGCTGAACTCGGACAGCAAAAACACCTTTAAGTGCCTTGTTTCTGAAAGTGCTGAATCTTGCACGCAATAAGTACAGGGCATAAGTGAAGGTCAGCATCAGGCCCACCTGTTATGGATCAGCAGTGGATTTAGAGTAAATTACACACACCGCATGATGAGGGATCTTAATCATGCTTCATCATCTGAATTGAGGCCCAATCAGTACAGAGCAGCGGAGGAGAAGTGGGTATATAGATTCAGCAGAGGTGAGGAGTTCATTTAGCTCCTGCATCAGGAGAGCGCTGGATTGAAACTGGTGAACCAGCCTGAAACACAACAATGCATTCTTCCATTATACTTCTGGTTATCTTGTTTGGCTTGTTGACCCAGGCGAACACAATACCTGTTAAAGTAAGTATATAATTAAGAGGAGTATATAGACTCCTTTTTTCTCGTCTTGTCATGCTTTGCAGCTGAAATATGTCAACATTTTTTGTGCGACAGAATTCGACTGGTGTGCACGAGGGGAAAGTGAGGTTGAAAAGGAAATTCTCTGGTGGGTCCCGATTCCTTGCACCTCAACTTGCATTTTCACAGTGATTTTCTGTTTATTCCATATTTATTTTTGTGTTCAGAGGAAAATATAGAGCATGATGAAACGACCACAATGGATCAAATCCTGGAGGTCAATCGCAGTAAGTGAACTGTAAATTACATAGAATTGTACTGATGTCAGTTTTTTCCCTGCATATTGAAAAGAATGCATTTTCTCATCAGAGATACGAGCCCCAAGAGGAATGTCAATAAGGGACGGCGATATTGCTGTTTCTCATGTAAGGAGTGCCATAACCTGCGCCGACAACACCTGTCTGTGGCCTAAATCTGTGGATGGATTTGTCTATGTACCCTACATCATCTCTCCACTGTATGGTATGAAGCTTTAAGACTTAAGGAGATGCTTCCGGTTTCTTATATCCCTTTATTATTTCATATTTTGCCTTTTTTGTGCATTCTTTCAACCTAACTTTAGACGACATGGACAGAATCACCATAGAAACTGGAATGCAAGACATTTCCGCTGGAACATGCGTTAAATTTGTTCCCCGCACTCACGAAGGCAACTTCCTTGACGTTCAGCCTAGATATGGGTGAGCGTGACTCCTGCTTATGGCTTCTTACAGTGTGCTGTGATGATTGTACATACCGTAGAATTTGTGCTCTGCATCCCTCCCTAGCTGCTGGTCATTTCTGGGGCAGACTGGGGGAAGCCAGACCCTGTCACTGCAGACTCCTGGGTGCATGTGGTCGGGAATCGCTGCTCATGAATTCATGCATGCGCTCGGCTTCGTACACGAGCAATCCCGATCAGACCGTGACAACTATGTCACAATTATATGGAAAAACATCATGCCAGGTTCGCACGTTTTATCACTACGTCATTCTAATTGCAGTGGCTAGATTTTTCACAAAATGAGTGTGAATGTGTTTTGGTTTTTTTGGGTTTTTTTGGCAGAGCACATACATAACTTCAGGAAACAGGTGACAAACAATCTCAACAGCCCATATGACTACAGCTCTGTCATGCATTATGGACGGTGAGTTGCTCTCTGATTCAACATAATTATCTGTTATTTAGACTCGGGCATCCCTGTATCATATATGTTTTGCATCTTTGATACAGATATGCCTTCTCTGAAGATGGCGGACCAACAATAATCCCCAAACCAGATCCCTATATCCCCATCGGCCAGCGAGATGGTCCTAGCGTAATGGATCTTCATAAAATAAATATCCTCTATAACTGCGGTTGGTAGATTTATACAGTAAACTGACAGTTGTTAGAAAAAAAGTTGAAAAGGACTGACTGGATTTCCTCTCTGTTTCTCACTATAGCTACCGATGACTAACTGGATCCAGAAACCTCTGCTGTAATGTCCTGCCAGATGTCACAAATAGTTTATTACAACTTCTCAGCTTGAGATGATAATCTGGGCAGTGGTTTAACCTGAGTCTATAGCAATGTATATTTTATTTTCACTGTCTAGTCTGCACTTTGAGCTTTTATTGATTCAAGACCTTCTGCCGTGGGGTGTTATAAATTACCAGATAACAACTAAAGGCTGCATTTCTCTAGTATAAATAAAGTGCCAAAAACAAAACTCACCAGTTTTAAGTGCCCGCTGATGCCAGTAACATCATTGTATCCGATCTCTGATCTATTTTATGGCTCTTGTCTATCTTCTGCTTACTTTAAATTAAAAATGAAAAATAAAAAATAAAAAATGGCTAATGGTTTATTTTTGTTTTCCAGAGACAGACTACAAGTTTTAAAAAATAGACACTGCTTTCAGGTGTAAAAGTAGAATAAATGATTTCGCACTTACATACGTGAAAGTATAAACTATGTATAAACTTCACATATGTGAAAAATAAACAGTGGATGTTATTAGGCAGATTTTTTTTTTTTTGTCAAGAGCTGGTAAACAAGATGTTCAACATATTACCATTTTGAAGTAAGCAAAGTCACTGACATTTAATTTCACAGTAAGCTGATATCTCTGATCTCTCAGGGCTGCTGTAGTTTTGGACTTGAGCAAGTCCATTAATGTCCCAGGTGGAAATGGAAAAGACACTGGACATTTGATTTTCACTGAGAGAAGATCTGTGTCTGGATTTGTTGAACTTCATCCCTGAGAAAGAGAACCAATGTCTTCTGAGCATGTGTCCTTATGTGTTAAAATGATCTCCTCTTTGAGATAATAAAAACCAGCAGTGATGCTGACCTGAAGTGCTCAAAACAGAATAAAAAGTGTAACAAACTGTGTGATTCACTGCTCTTGCCCTGGTGAAGTTAACTATGCAAACTGCAATATCAACAGTATGGTTAATTTTTAGCACATCACCTGCCACAGTATAAATCGATGGAAAAATATGAATTTCACTTCTGGGTTAATTTTACTCACTTTCACAATTTCACTGCTGTAAATATCTGACGTGTTTCCCTCTTCTTGATGGATAAATATATTATGATTTTATATATTCCACGGGGACTTCAATAACAATGGTGCCACCCCCTGTAGAAACTAACACATGTCACTCTCTTTTTGTAGCTTTTAAGGGTGCCGATATTACACTGCTGCAGCATTAAACTGTGCATTCTGCCAGGCTACATAATGTCTGGGAGTTTATGCACCACTCACTGTAGAATTAAGCAAAACTTGCCACTTATCTTATTGTAGTGTTAAGCTAACACTTACTTATGTACACTTCTTGGCCACTTCATTATTTACACCTTCCTAGTGATTGAGCCTTCTTTTCCCTTTAAAGCTGTATAAATCTTTTATGCCATACGCTGAACAAGGAGCTGATCTTGTTTTGGTGAGCCCCTGCATTTTAGTTGTAATGAGTGTTTTTTGAGTTACCAGGTGTTTTTACCCAGAAAACTGCCATTCACTTTTTTTAAAAAAAATTCTCTATAAACCATAGAAATGTGCAAAAATAACAGTAAATTAGTAGTTTCTGAAATACTAAAATCAGCTCATCCGGCACCAACAACCACATTGCATTCAAAGTCACTTAAATTTGAGGAATTTGAGGAAGTTGTCTTTGCCATGTCTACTTGCCTACATGTTTTGAGTTGCTGTTGTGCCATTTATTGATTACATATTCATTAGAGAGCAGTTGACCAGGTATACCGAATAAAGTGGCCAGGGAATGTGTATACTTGTATTTCCTTAATAAGGATTAGTGCAGAGTTTGCATGTTTCGGTTTCTTTCACTTCCCCAGTTGTTTTGTCACATTACTGTCTCCCTCAATCACTTCCATTGTGAGCTTTTGTTTTAATTTTTATTTTGCTATTTCAGTTGTATGTGTGTTTGTTTTGTTTTTTTATTCACCTTCTGTCACAGAGTTTTTCTATTTGCTGGCATTGTACAAAACAGACTATATTTCTTTCACAGAAGAAATGCAAAAAATAAAAGAACTGAAAAAGTGCTGATGAAGTAACTAAACTACAAGCAAAATAGCAACAGGACTTGCTATAAAGTTAAAAGTTTACTGTTGTTTTTGGATTAAATTGTGAAAAAAAACGTTGGCATATTTGCTGTGCCTACTTTACATTTCCATTGCCTAACTGTTACATCTACTCCTACCCGTACCAGTTTTAAAAGAAATTTTTTAAAAAAATTAACAAAATTAGCAGAATTGATTTCAGCTTGTTTCACAACAATTCGAGTTTCTCACGTGGCCCCTTGGGGGAAATTCTACACGTAACCAAATCTCGGGTTTGGCACGTAAAAACGCGATAGCTAGCCCCGAGACTGCTGGATCTTTCTAGATGCAGACCTGGGGGTGGAGCTAGAGTCTCACACTGTGTAGTGTAGATTGTAGAGTATCTGTCAACAATATATTACATTTCAAAAATGAGCGATAACGACAAAAGCCGGGTACGTATACATTTTATTACCGTTTGTAATGCATTGAACATTTTAAATCCTTGGGTTTGACAGGGTAACTGAAATTGTAACGGTAACAACCTTGTTCATATTTTGTTGGCTAGTAGTACCCAGCTTACCTTGTTGGCACAACTCTTTGGTCGAAAGCTGGGTTTTAGAAAGAAAATAAATTGCACAAATTTAAACAATAAAAGGCGATTTTATGCCCAACGGATACGAGTTTTTAGTTCATCTTTAGCTACCTGGCTAAGACTAGCTTATAGATGAAAGCTAGGCCTGGTGCTTTTTTGTTTACGAGCCGGGGTTTGCACTGAAAACACTGCAATGTCGGCAAACATGTTTATAACGTTTTTAAATTGTTAAAACTCAGTAATTTTCATGTAAATTTTAGCTTCTTCGTCTGATTCGTCCTATGATTGTGCGTAGAAACCAAATAAAATATTTCATGTCGTCGCGGATTCAGTGGAAGACATTTGCCTAACGAACTGTTATATTTTCGCTGTTTTGTTGTTGTTTTTTGTTTGTTTGTTTGTTTTTGTTTTTGTTTTGTCCCCCCCCTTCCCCGGATTGAATTATATCATGTTACGTCTGCTGGTTATTAATCTTTGAATGTCATTGTGGGTTTCCTTAGTTCTTAGGCATTACAGCAATTTAAAACAAAACTAACGACCTCAAGATTTGACCTTTTTTTTTAAAAATTCATTTTTATTAACTCATGCAGCTCTCCCACACCATCTTAAAACGGTTAAAGCTGATACGCCACAAGCACCAGCATTATGGATAAGTTTGATTAATACTTGCTGGGCTGACTGACCTGTGTGCAGTAATATCCTTCCTGTAGTGAACTGTTTAATATCCCCTCACCTTGCACAGCTCCTGAATGCTTCTGTCTGTTTAATGGGTGTGTGATATGCCCTGTGTTCCCATGTTATTAAATATATGTGGGAGGGCAAATGGCAGATTAAGAAAAAAGAAATGAAGAATTTATTTTCTGCATGTAAACCCATATTTTGAACTGGTTTGTATTAGTTCCTGCAAGGTGCTGGGTGCTTGTTGCTTAACTAACAAGTTTTTTTTTTGCCTCTTATTGGATTTCTTTTTTTGGTTAATATTTAATCTTTAAGGTTTTCAATATATTATGTAATCGTAACAGATAGCAACAGTTTTCTGTCTTTGCATTTCCAGAACAGGTTTTAAGTGCTGCTCAGTACAAATGAGTGGCTGCTACATCTTGAGGTCGTTGGAGCAAATTTAAGACTTTATTTTGGAGTTATCCACAAAAAAATGGAGACAGTGTTGGTAGTTTTAATCTTAATTATAAAATATTCACAGTCAGTGGTTTGATGAACACTATGGTGACTTAAAGGCCATTTGTCAGAAATTATGTAAGAAAGGTTCATTTGGGAAAATATATTGTTAAAGGAAGGCAAAGGGAATCACAAGAAGTTACCTTCACATCCTTATCCTTCAGTTTTAGTTGTAATTTTTAAAAAATGATCACACCCGGTTTTACCTCTCAATTATTCCAAATTGTTTTTGAGGAAGTTCTTAGGAAAAGTGGCCAGAAAAACACAAAAGTGAAAGCAAAACCACTGAGCGTGAATATTAATAAAAACACTGACAGTATGTATAATGTGGTCTTTAACATTCCCATTAATGTCATTAGCTCGTACTACTACTACTACTACTACTACTAATAATAATAATAATAATACAACATTAAACGTTGAATGAGCGTGCAGTTTTAATTGCAGTCATATATTCTTCATCCTTTTCTTTTTCATAAAGGTTAAGGTTGGACGAAGAAAATACGGAAGAAGTCCACTTTATTTTCAATAATATGAAGCTCAGATGTGTGAAGCTGAATTGTTGAATGCATGCTAAAACATGAGGAGGGAAGAAGTATGGGCAGTGTGTGAGAGATGGGGAAGTAAGAAGAAGTAAGACAATTGAAGAAAGAAGAATAATGTCAAGTAATGAAGTTACAGAAATGAAGTTAAGGAAGTAATCTGGATAAGGTCACTGCGCTAAGTAAATTTCTGGTCTGTTTGTCAAATGCGTGCATGTTCTTCTTATTCAATACACACACATTAGTTTAAATCATTGCAATTTTATCTCACAACTGACAATTTTCTTTTTTTTCCCCACTATTTAACAACATATTAATGTAAACATATTGATGTCATATTATCCATGGCTACACAGCACTCCTATTTCACAACCCTAAATTCAGTTTTCTTCCTGTACTTTTCACAGGATAGTCTTAATTCTTAAATACACAGTAATATTTTTGGCAAATGTATGTGTTGATCACTTTATTGGTGCTGATTTTAAAAAATGTGTGTGGTTCGTTCAGGAGTCTCGCTCTGCATCCAGGAGCGTGACCCCACGGGGCTCTGGGAAGTTGGGGAGCCAGTCCCCAGCTCAATCTCCTGCCCACTCAAAAGGAGGCTCCCACTCCAAATCTCGCTCTCGGTCAAGGTCAAAATCTTGGTGAGTAATACACGCATAAAATTCTCTACTATCAATAAACAGACTCAATATGGCCACTTTCATGTTATACCCACCCTGTTCAGGGCTTCACGGCAAGAGAATCCTGGGTTCAAACCCAGACAGGGGACTTCTCTGTGGAGCTGACTTCTTCCGTTTCTCTGGCCATTGACAAATCTTGCAAAAGTTCAAGAGTTTCACTTCCAAGTTGTTGAAAAAACCCCAAACAAACAAAAAAAAGACATTTACATCTGCATTGCCTGCCAATGTCTGCTTCATGTGTGAGTGAGTGTCCTGGTCACTGTGCTACAAACGCAGTGGCAATGTCAGTAGATCAGACCATGCAAGTAAAATTTACACTTTCAGTGCAAATTTTCAGTGGGGAATTAAATGTTGCAGCTCTTGATGGTTGACAACACAAACACTATTCAGTTAAACTATATGTTCATATTTCATTGAGGCAAAACGCAGCTTAACGGTTCAGTCTCAGATGTTACGTAGTTGTCTCCAGCCCCGGCAGGTGAGAGCCTGTCTCTATCTCTCACTCTCAACCTCTGTGACGGGAAGTTGTTACCAAGCGAAAGAGGCACGAGCCGGCGGGTTTTGCAGTACTTTGATCTTAAAAAACAGAAGGTCTGTGTGTTGGCTACGTCACAGGAAACTGGCATTTAACTAGCATCGCTAAGTTTAGCTACACGCTGCAAATTAATCTGACATTGTGCGTGTTTTACATGATGCAAAGTGGCACACATTTCATCAACATTTAAATATGATGTGGTTATAGAAGACTGTGAGTAATGGTTTTAAATAGCTCTTAAATACACACACAGTATTTCTGTGTGCAGTGTTTCATCCATTAGACTGTGTGCACTTCTACCTGTTTTCTGACTGTTTTATTACTTTTAGGCTATTAAAAAAATATTTCTATCCTTTAAATGACTAGGAAATTAGTTGCCAGGAACATCCCTACTGGATGGTGTCAAATTATTGGATAAGCATGCAAAAAATTGCACCTGTTCATCTCTTTAATATTATTACTCCTAGTGGTGGTCCCAAGCCTGGATAAATAGGAGGGCTGTGTTAAAGCAAACATGCAGATCAATCCACACTGTGGCAGCCCCTACGGAAATAAGGGAGCAGCTTAAAGTACCTCCAATAAGACATTTGACTTGTGCATTCTGTTTCCCCATTCACAGGAGAGAGACTTTTTACTCTGTTTGTAAGGTGTAAGGGCAGCGCTGTCATTCAGCAATACAGCACCAGGTGTATTTTTGATAGAAACACTTTAAGTTGCACAGAAATCCAAAGTAAATTGTCGGTTTTCAAAAGTTTGCGACAATGTGAACAAAGCCTTGTCGGAAATTTGACGTCACAGAGGGTTTAGTGTTAGAGATTGTGACAGTGGTAAGTGGGGTTACTTTTCACTAGAGTCTGGGATGTTTTGGCAGTTATTTTAAGTATTTCATGCTCTTTTTTTTTTTTTTTTTTTTTTTTGGTCCATGCTATAATTTTCATAAAGACAAATGTAAATTTGTGGAATTACTTGAAAATTGCCAGAGAACGTATAAATATGGGTTGTTTGTTTCTCTCGCTCTCTATAGGTCACATTCCCACCGCTCACGGAGACACTACAGCCGCTCCCGCTCCCGATCCTATCATCACCGATCTCACAGTAGGTCCTACAGCGGAGAGCGTCGGCGCAGAAGCCACAGCCATTCACCCATGTCCAATCGTCGGAGGCACATTGGCAACCGTGTATGTGCTTAGCAATGTGTGATATCTAAAAACAGAGGATGTATTGGTTTAATGAATCATTTTAATGAGAAAATGATCACATCCAAATCTTGAAACCTTTCAAATTTGCAGGCTAATCCAGATCCGAATTGCTGCCTGGGAGTCTTTGGCCTGAGCTTGTACACCACAGAGAGGGATCTGAGGGACGTCTTCTCCAAATACGGCCCCCTGGACGATGTCTCCATTGTGTATGACCAGCAGTCGAGGCGATCCAGGGGCTTTGCTTTTGTGTATTTCGAGAACACAGATGATGCCAAAGAGGTACAAGAACAATAATAAATAACCCCGCCTGCCACACCTATACTTAAAATATCCTCTAGGACGGCAAGTGTAATTTATGTTCGCTTCCAGGCGAAGGAGCGAGCCAATGGCATGGAGCTGGACGGGCGTACAATCAGGGTGGACTTCTCCATCACAAAAAGACCTCACACCCCAACACCTGGAATTTACATGGGCCGGCCCACATAGTAAGCAATCTCTTTGTGTGGAATAATTAAATAAGTTTTTAAACAAAGACACAGTTAAAATGCTTGTAATATAAGACAGCGCTAACTTATGGACACATCAAAGCATCTGAAATAAAATTCTTAGTGTTACTAAACATGAAAAGTAGTGTTTTTATTCAACATTTATTCAGTCAACAGTAAAGGAAAAAAAGAAAATAGAAACGGGCTCTTACAAAATTAGTTCCTGTGTCATAAGTTGTATCCAGTTGAACCTAAAATGAACGCAGAGATTTTAATGGTAAAAATGACACAACTAACCTCTTCAAAGGCCTGAGCCACACGGGCTTAGAGACTGGTCAGCAAATCCCTGGCCATCAATGATCACTTGGGAAAATATGCTTTCTCCAACCTCTTGGCAAATGGTTGCTAAGGTCTCAGTCACACAGCCCTAGAGTCTAGTCAGTGACCCCCTGATAACCACAGGTAACTAGGGAACAGTGTAAGCAAGTAGGTTCTGGCAGTTGCTAGGTGAAATTTGTGAAAAAGAGGTATATATTGCTGCACCAAAAACCTTCTTTTAAATCTTTTTCATTGGAGGTGAGAATGTAACAGTAAAATAAGGCAAAAGTACGCTTTGTGTAGCGTGAAAAATCTTATGTTATTGTTTTTGTGTAGCGGAGGAGGCGGTCCAAGCGGTCCCCGACGCTATTCACGTGACTACGACCGTGGTTACGACCGTGGATATGACCGAGGTGGATACGACCGCTATGATGACAGGGACTACTACAGATCATACAGGTGACTGTTAAAGGATATCAGCGGTTCCTTTGTTCTCATCGTGTCGTATTTGGGTTTGCTGTTCTTTATTTTATCCCCCTCTGACACTGACAAAAATGATAAACGGTCTTTGTTCCTCTAGAAGGCGATCTCCTTCACCGTACTACAGAGGCGCTTACAGGTCTCGATCGAGGTCACGGTCTTATTCTCCCCGTAAGTCATTTCAATAAAGTATCAGATGTTTTTATTGAAGAATCCAGCATGTTGTATTGTGTCATTTAATTACCCTGTTTTGTTCCACAGGTCGATATTGAAGGCTTCTGTCCCCTTATCTTCCCAAATGTGCAGAATTTCTTTTCTTTTTTTTTTGGGGGGGGGGTTGTTACGTTTTGTAAAGACAGATATGATTGACTTCAGAGTACATCTTTCTTACTCTAATCATCAAACACCTTTTTGCTTAAAATACATTAAGTATAGTAAATTTATGAAGCGGTCCTTTCATGTTTTGAACGCCTGTTGTAAATGTTATACTCATGTCAGATTTATGTTGTGTAGTGGAGCAGATTAAAAAGGAGATCTGTTTTTCCCACCTTGACTCGTGTCCTTCCTCGCAGTATTTTATGCCTTTTACAACAGACTATTGCATTCGCAAGATAGTTGTAATGCTGACATGAATATATTAAAGCCTTGACTTTATCATATTTATGCAGATTCTTTCTACAGAATTTTAAAATATCTAGTGCAAGGCGTTTCTATTGATTTGAGTTAAGTTAAATTTTCTGGAGGGCTTTGTATAGTGTCAAGTGGGTGAGGATAACATCAGGAATAAAACTGCTTTGATGAAATAGTAAAACAAAAGTATTTTAATCTTCCTGTTAAAAGCTCAATCACTCAGGCCTCGTCCTTTCCTTACTGCAGCTGTTCATGCCGACCACGTTTAGCTGGATGGATTTGTTTGTTTTTTTTAACCCCGCTGGAACTTTTTAATTAATTTATTTTCCCCCTAACTTTTCAGACCAGAGTAAACAGATCTGACCAGTTAGACAACTCGTTTGGCAACAAGCATAGCTCAAAACTTGCCTCTGTGCTGAATATACAAATGGTAAAAGGGTTATACTATTTTATACTATTTTATATTTATTTTTTTTAAACCTCAAACACAGCTAGATGCTTCTCTAGGTCAGTTGGCTCTCTAAAGTCAAAGTAATGAATCCAGAATTTCAGTTTCTCCCTTTTCTGGTTTAGAAACATCAGGATCTGCTCATCGTTGCTTGGTGTCAACAGTGTGGTTTTTGAGGACAAATGTTCTGCAGAAACGCAACGTGTTTGATGTTTATACGTTACAAGTTCTGACCTCCTCCACCTGGGGTAGTAACTCATCCCTCACCCATACCTGGCACTATACCGTTTTCTATCTGAGATCTATGGTCTTGGACTTGGATGTGCTAATTCCCGTGCAGGTGGAGGAGGTCAAGTGTCTTGGGGTCTTGTTCAAGAGTAAGGGAAGAGTGGGACATGAGATTGACAGGTGGATTGGGATGATGTCCACAGTGATGCAGATGCTGAACAGATCTGTTGTGGTGAAGAGAGAGCTGAGTATAGAAGCTAAGCTATCGATTAACCAGTCCCCCTACCCTCACCTATGGTCACAAGCTCTGGGAATGTAGTCGCGGATACAAGTGGGAGAGATGAGTTTCCTTTGAAGAGTGGCGGGGCTCGGTCATTCAAGAGGGACTCGGAATAGAGCTGCTCCTTCACGTTGAAAGGAGCCAGTTAAAGTGATTCAGGCATCTGACCAGGATACCTCCTGGATTGACAACAAATGGTGAATGTTTGCAGATAATTCAGCTTCTACCATACAAACTGCAGATAACCACAGCAATCACAAGTAGCCAGGCATGCACCCTGACCCTCCCGGATGAGCTGGAGGAGGTGTCTGGGATGAGGGAAGTCTGGGCTTCTCTGCTCAGACTGCTGCACCCACAAACTGAACCCAGTTAAACGGTAGAGGATGGATGGATGGATTGACCAATTCAGAACTGAAAAATCTGGGCTTTCGTGTCACTTTTTTGCAACATGCTTGCCGTGTAATGGCCTAAAGTTGGACCTTTTGACATCTGTTGGTTGCAGCAGTAATGCACAACTTCTTCTCTGAAAGTGAATAGTCTCTGTTTCTGGTTTCCATTACACAATTTCCAAGTTTCACTACAACTTAGACAGCAAGTGGGGACTGTTTGCAGATAAATCCGCTTCTTCAATGCAAACTTTAGGTTTTAAGTCAACCAGGGGAATGATCTAAAATGAATATGACTTCTTAGGAGAAAAATACACAAAGAGGAGTTTGTTGATGCAATCATGCTGACCCTTATTAACATTAAATTACATATGGATCCTTTTTTTTTAATTGTTAATGATTGATAATAAATAAGGGTTTGAGGCATGAACTTTCCGTCAGTTTCCCAATGCCATAAAAAGCTGAAGTACTATCAGGCTAATTGGTGCTTCTAAACTGGCTGTAGACACAGGATTAAAGTGCTGCATGAATAGCCTGAAAACTATGAATGTGGTGGGCAGCGTAAAGTGCTTCAGGTTGTCAGTAAGACTAGAATATCAATATCATTTTCCAGCCTGCTTTGTTGAGCGTCAAAGGTTACCAAATTGTAGTACAGCAGGTTTGTCCACAATAGATTTGCCTTGTATAGCCATAGAAAACGTTTATTTAATGTCAGAAGAAGGTGAGTCGTTGGACTGCTTTATGATTATTTTTTTAACATGGTTTTGAGGAAAACTGATCCATGACTAAATGCAGCTAAACAGCCACTGTGAAATCAAGTCAGTTACACCAAGCACACTGTTTAAAACTTCACCACAAGGTGAAGCAAGAGCCTCGGAGTAGCACCTAGCTGCAGGAAAGCAAAGTCCAACATCTACCCCTGCTGGTCACAAATCGTCCAAATCTGTATCCATGACATAGAGTACATTACATGGAAAAATTACTTGTTGGATTCTTTGCTTATTGTAGTTTTTCCCTTTTTGCCAGAGAGGAGAGGGGGAGGCGGAGAGGCACAGCTTGTGTCTTGTAAAAACAGGCAGTTTCTTTACTCAAAGGGTCGGTTCACCCAAATTATTAAAAAAAACACAAC